GTACAGTGATTAAAGTGAAATCCCTGCAAGCTGCATGGGTGCTTTTTAAAGACACCATAATAGAGGCCCAACTTCAATGTATACCCCAAATTAAGAAACACAGTAAAAGAACTAAAAAAGAGCCACCGTGGCTTAATAACCATGTAAAAGAAGCAGTGAGAGATAAAAAGACTTCCTTTAAAAAGTGGAAGTCAAATCCTAGTGAGGCAAATAGAAAGGAGCATAAAAGCTGCCAAATTAAGTGCAAGAATGTAATAAGAAAAGCCAAAGAGGAGTTTGAAGAATGGCTAGCCAAAAACTCCAAAGGTGGTAATAAAATGTTTTTTAAGTACACCAGAAGCAGGAAGCCTGCTAAACAACCAGTGGGGCCCCTTAATGATCGAGATACAAAAGCAGCGCTTAAAGACGATAAAGTCATTGCGGAGAAACTAAATGGATTCTTTGCTTCAGTCTTCATGGCTGAGGATGTTAGGGAAATTCCCAAACCTGAGCCAGCTTTTGTAGGTGACAGATCTGAGGAACTGTCATGGATTGAAGTGTCACTAGAGGAGGTTTTGGAATTAATTGATAAACTTAACATTAACAAGTCACCGGGACCAGATGGCGTTCACCCAAGAGTTCTGAAAGAACTCAAATGTGAAGTTGTGGAAATATTAACTAAGGTTTGTAACCTGTCCTTTAAATCGGCTTCTGTACCCAATGACTGGAAGTTAGCTAATGTAATGCCAATATTTAAAAAGGGCTTTACAGGTGATCCCGGCAATTGCAGACCGGTAAGTCTAACGATGGTACTGGGCAAATTAGTCAAAACAATGGTTAAGAATAAAATTGTCAGATACATAGAAAAACATAAACTGTTGAGCAATAGTCAACATGGTTTCTGTAAAGGGAAATTGTGTCTTACTAATCTATTAGAGTTCTTTGAAGGGGTCAACAAACATGTGGAGAAGGGGGATCCAGTGGACATAGTGTATTTAGATTTCCAGAAAGCCTTTGACAAGGTCTCTCACCAAAGGCTCTTACGTAAATTAAGCTGTCATGGGATAAAAGGGAAGGTCCTTCATGGATTGAGAACTGGTTAAAAGACAGGGAACAAAGGATAGGAATAAATGGTAAATTCTCAGAATGGAGAGGGGTAACTAGTGGTGTTCCCCAGGGGTCAGTCCTCGGACCAGTCCTATTAAACTTATTCATAAATGATCTGGAGAAAGGGGTAAACAGTGAGGTGGCAAAGTTTGCAGATGATACTAAACTGCTCAAGATAGTTAAGTCCAGAGCAGACTGTGAAGAACTTCAAAAAGATCTCACAAAACGAAGTGATTGGGCAACAAAATGGGAAATGAAATTTAATGTGGATAAATGTAAAGTAATGCACACTGGAAAAAATAACCCCAACTATACATACAATATGATGGGGGCTAATTTAGCTACAAGAAGTCAGGAAAAAGATCTTGGAGTCATCATGGATAGTTCTCTGAAGATGTCCACGCAGTGTGCAGAGGCAGTCAAAAAAGCAAACAGGATGTTAGGAATTATTAAAAAGGGGATAGAGAATAAGACTGAGAATCTATTATTGCCCTTATGTAAATCGATGGTATGCCCACATCTCGAATATTGCGTACAGATGTGGTCTCCTCATCTCAAAAAAGATATACTGGCACTAGAAAAGCTTCAGAAAAGGGCAACTAAAATGATTAAGGGTTTGGAACAGGTCCTATATGAGGAGAGATTAGAGGCTAGGACTCTTCAGCTTGGAAAAGAGGAGACTAAGGGGGGATATGATAGAGGTATATAAAATCATGAGTGATGTGGAGAAAGTGGATAAGGAAAAGTTATTTACTTATTCCCATAATACAAGAACTAGGGGTCACCAAATGAAATTAATAGACAGCAGGTTTAAAACAAATACAAGGAAGTTCTTCTTCACGCAGTACACAGTCAACTTGTGGAACTCCTTACCTGAGGAGGGTGTGAAGGCTAGGACTATAACAGCATTTAAAAGAGAACTGGATAAATTCATGGTGGTTAAGTCCATTAATGGCTATTAGCCAGGATGGGTAAGGAATGGTGCCCCTAGCCTCTGTGAAAGGATGGAGATGGGTGGCAGGAGAGAGATCATTTGATCATTGCCTGTTAGGTTCACTCCCTCTGGGGCACCTGGCATTGGCCACTGTCGGTAGACGGATACTGGGCTAGATGGACCTTAGGTCTGACCCAGTACGGCCGTTTTTATGTTCTTATGTATGTCGTGCTGTATGGAGAGGCTCGTGACCAAAAGTTCCAACCCTTAGGGAAGACTGTCAAAAAGCAGAGCAGATGCCCCTAACTGGTTATATGTTCTATAATTAGATTTCACCAACCCAGTAACAAGCATGAAATAAGAGCTACAATAGTCTTATAATGGAGTCCTAAACAATCCCTTTGGACACACCAGTCCATCTTGCCACCCAGGCAAGCTGGACTGTGTGATAAATGATCATTTACACCAACGATCACTAAATATTCAGGTTGCTCCCAGTCCCAAGAGACCAGTCACTTACCCCAGGTAAATCTGTACCTTAGATCTCACACCAAAGACAATGCTTGTAGCCAGTCTTGTAATAAATTAACTAAAGGTTTATTAACTAGGAAAAGAAATGAGAGAGTTAGTTACAGGTGCAAGCAAGCACATATATATATATGAGTTTGTCTATGATTCAAAACATGGTAAAGTTGTAGTAATTTGTCAATTCAAAATGTTTTTCAGGGCTAACCCATGCCAAGCAGCATGGGACTCTCTTTGCTTATTTTTAGGAATCTTTGCCCCAGACAGCATAAAAGATCCAGTTTCTCCTTTTCAGGGATTTTTATCCCCTCCACTCCAGAGTTCATGGGATGAGTTCATGTGTAAGTCTCTCATTCCTGGAGGGAATTAGGAATGCAACCAACAGAGCCTTTCTCTCCTTTGATGCTACACAATACCTCATTTGCCTTTAGTGGGCCATCTTGTATGCAAGATGAGCCCTTTCCCTTAATTAATTATTATTTTCTTGTTTAGTACATTATACAATTATAGAGATTTACAGTGCAAATAATCAGTATAACTACACCATGGGCTAGAGAGGTTATAAGTGAGATCAGTATATGCAGCATCCTACAATCTTTGTCTTATAAAGTCTAAACACCTACTTATCAACTTAGCATTTAATATCTTTTGATAGTGCTAACACACAGGTAAGCAAGACTGGTTTCCAGCTGTGCATTTGTAAGTGTTCAGGGAGGCCTGGGGCCATGGCATGAGCTGGCACCTGGTCTGCCAGCATCACTGTCTCTCCCCTTGTCAGCAAAGTATGTGCAGTATGTTTTTCCATGCCTTGTTCTCTAGGCTTTCTAACAGCAGAAGTCTTCGAAGGGCTTGGGCATGGATTTGTATTTTCAGCTACTGATCTGTGAGTGTGTGCACAACATGGAGTTTTTCAAAATCAGTGAGGCCAGCTTCATTCTTCACATTAACTTTTATGCAGTATGTAATAATTAACACCTCGTTTAATATTTTGTGTTCAGAATGGAAAAAAACCTCCTGCTGACAGAGTCCCAAGCACTACGAAATCAGTACCAGATGGCTGTTGCAGACAAGGACCGGCAGATTGCAGAATTACAGAAATTACAGCATGACATGATTGTTAAGGAATCTGTATCCATTGGTAGCAATTACCCAATCAAGGTAAACCAAACCAAATATTTAAAAAAATCAAACAAACAAAAGCCATTTCCAAAAAGAGAACTATGACAAAGCATGAAACCAAAGCATTGGAGGATAGCAGATAGTGTATGAATATTTAAATAAAGCTCAAGGAGTGATCCAGGGCTTTACAGAACAATAAGCCTAACATCTGTACCTGGTTGAATCAATCATTAAAAATAGAATAGTAAAATATCTGGAGATCATGCTATATTGGGTTTCATGGTTTAAGCAAAGGAAAATCATATCTTGTAAGCATTCTTTGAATGTCTCAGTAAAGAAGTGGATAAAGAAAAACTAGTTGACAAAATTAGACTGTCAAAATGTTGACATGGTCCCTCACAAAAGTCTACTAAAAAAACTAAGTGTTTGTACGCACCCGATACAATGGGGTCCTGGTCCTCCTAAGTGCTACAATAATATAAATAATAAATAGTCGTGATAAGAAGCAAAGTATTGTCATGGGTCAAAAACTGGCTAAGAAACAGAAAACAAAGAGTTAGTAATAAATGGTTAATTTTTATCTTGGCCAAAAATTAACAGTGGGGTGGTTCAAAGTTCTGTGTGAGATCCAGTGTTACTTAATGTATTTATTAACGATCTAGAAAGGGGAGTGAGCAAGAAGGTAGCAAAATTTGCAGATGATTCAAAGGTTATTTAAACTAGTCCAGTCCAGAGAGAAACTTCAGAGGGACCTAATCAAATCAGGTGAATGGGCGACACAATGGTAGATGAAGTTCTGTGCTGATAAGTGCAAAGTAATGCACATTGTAGAGAAAATATTTAACTAGTTTTCCACCTTACAGGTTTCTGAATTAACTGTATCAAATCAAGAAAGTGACCTGGTTGTCATTGTGAACAGTTCAATTAAGAGCTCTGCTCATTGGGCTGTTGAGGACAGAAAAACTATCAAGATGCTAGTATGCATAAGGAAGGGGATGGAGAATGATAGTCAATATATTACCATATCTTTACATAAATCAGTGGTGTGGCCTCATCTGGAATATCGTGTGCAGTAGTGGTCACCCCATCTTGTAAAGGATGTTGCAAAACTAAAGAGGGCGATAGGAATGATCAAAGGCCTCGCTCTTAGGAAGAGAGATTGAAAAGAATGAGATTGTTTACATAAGAAAAGAAACAAATCGGAGGGAACATGATAAAAGTATATAAAATAATTAATGGTATACAGAAGTAAATCAGGAGCTTCTGTTTTCCCTTTTCATGCCCCAAGAACAAGGGGACATCCAGTGAAATTAAAAGGTGGCAAATTCTGTTTCACACAAAATGTAGTTAGGTTGAGAAACTCATTCCTACAGTCTGTTACTGAGGCCAAAATACTTAGCAAAATTCCAAAAGGAATTGGTCATTTATATGGGTTACAAGAACATCTAGAGCTATAAATATTAACAAATGTTGGGATATTAAACCTCATGTTTCAGGGTGTAAGCCAATCTGTAATTGTTGGAAATTAGGCAGAGACCAGATGTGAGGGGAAGATTAAACCACATGTGTCCAATGCAAGGTTTCTTGCACCTTCCTCTGAAGTATCTGGTAGTGACTGCTGTTGCTGACAGAATACAGAACTAGATGGGCCACAGATCTCATCCAGTCTGATAATTCTTCTGTTCCTCAGATCTTGTGTATGAACAATAACGATCTAAGGAAAAGTGTTATGTTAACCTAATGTCATCTTTAATGTTTCTGACCCAAAGGAAAGTTGGAGTAAGTTAACCTTCTAATTTGGCTAATGACGATAACAGTTAGTAGCCAAGATTAAGACTATTGTGTACTAACCATTTCTGATAATCAAATCATGAGTAATATGAAAAACTTTCCAACAGTGATGACTGCTGGAGTGTGGAATAGTATCTTGAAGGAAGTGGTAGAAGGCCCATTGTATGATTATATATGTAAAAATGGTACTAGAAATGCTAGGTAGGAAACTGCCCTTCATTGTTGGAGTTGGATAGGATTGTAGAATAGCAGGCCAAATACAGATAAACACGGCTCATCTTCTATGATTCAGTGTAATGAATGATGGTGTATTTTTGTAAAGGGATACTCTCTCTTCTTTAAATACATACTTGCAAAATAACCACCTTTCTTTATCAGTGTTTAGAACTTTAAAAATGCTTTTCATAGTTTTTCTTTCGTTCATTTTCTGTGTTTTGCTTCACTTAGACACTTAATCAGTGAAGTTAGTCTAATTTGTTTAGAGTCATTTTCACTTCATGTTCTCCGTGTTGCAGTGGGTGGATTGGAAACACCAGTGGGATGTTAGTTTATGTCAGTGTTCCCCAAACTTTTTGTGTTGCACCCCTCCCTATCCGTAATAGAACCTGTCCGCGCCGCAGCCAAGAGCAGAGCCACGGTCAGGGCCAGGGCTGTGGTCGGGAGTCGAGGCTGAAGGCCACAGCTGGGGCTATGGTTGGAACTGCGGCCGGGGCCAGGAGCAGAGCCGGCACCGGAGCTGTCACTGGGGGTAGGGCCAGAATGGAGCTGGAGGCAGAGTGGGGCTGGGTGGAACTCCCTCCCTCCTCTCCCCCTATACTCCTCTGTGGGGGCTGGCCCGGTTTGGGGACCACTGGTTTATGTAAATAAAAACAGTTTTTGTTCGAAACTTGGGACAGGCTTGTGAAAGGGAAATAATAATGGGATTGTAGACATCACTGATTTAAAAGTGTGTTAAAACAATGGATTATATATCATTATCAATTTCTGTAGATTTAACCTTGAATTTTTGGGTGGTGTTTAAGCCATTAGAAACAGTCACTCTGGTCGGAAGTACAAACAGTCCTGAGCAATTGAAACATCTTTTAGCTGAGAAGAGCCAGCTTCAGAATGAACTGCAACGCTGTCTTCAGGAGATGCACCAGAGGGAGCTGCGTTTCCAGCAGATGAACTCAAAGGTAGGGAAGGTGATAGCTGTGACTACTCTGGGTAAATGTGGAGCATAGTTAATGTGAATATAGAAATATTTTCATCTACCTGAATCTAGGAACAAGGCATATTTAATTTGTGTACTGTGTATTTATATTACTACAGCATTAGCTCACACAACATAGTTGGCTCAGAGTGGAACTGGCAAGCTAAAAATCAAGAATGTCTTTGAACTATAGCTGTTGTTTGACTGAGACAGGGCCACTTGACCCTGCAGTTTGCAATGCAGAAGTTGCAGCACCAAAACTATATCTCATTCAAAGCAAAAAAGACTACAGTTAAGACGGGAGCAGTTGAAATTCCTCCACACTTAGTACAGTATTTGAGCCATATTGTGTCAAAATTTCAAAGTGCCTTAAAAATGCATGCACAAAATCAGCAGGTAAACCCATTTGCAATTATAAATCAGGCAAACGTATGCACAAGCAGTTGTGTGTGCAGTTTTCTCTCTTGCACCGTTTTGTGAGCAAAACTCTATTTGTACATGCATGTCTATAGATGATCTTTGGAAAAGGATCCCTTTAAAATCTTTCCTTCGTTTTCTTTTGAAAATTGTCAACTGCTGCCTTTGCCATCACACTGTCTGATGCACTTTTTTCAGCCTATATACAATTGCTCTTCTTAACTATAAATCTCATCTCTACAGTATATCTCTTTAGAGAGAGAATTGTTAGCTCTTGTTTTGAAATGGTGAATTGTTTCAGGTAATGCAGTCAGTAGAAGAGAATGCTGTATTGTCTGCCCAGTTGAAGACAGTATCCCAGACTCTAAGAGAGAATCAGCTGCGTTACACTGATCTGCAAAATCGTTATTTCAGACTTGAGAGGGAATACCAGACAGTGCAAGTTAGTTCCTTTCAAGATACTGCTCAGGTAAAATGAACATACTATTTTTCTGTGCTGTCTTTTTAGTCTCGTGACCCAACTCCTGATTTTAAAGGGTTGTGATCTTTCCTAGTTTTCCTTTAGTGCTTAATGTGAAGTAAACACCTCATATGGTATTGGTATTTTTGCTGGTTCATGTATCATGAGGTAAGGAAAATAGCTCTCTTGTTTTTGTAGCTAAATGCCACTTTAGCTACTGTCATTTGAACTTGATTTCTCTTATTACTGTTCACAGATTTACTTGTCTTTGCAGTTGTAAACTGTTTCCATGCTACAGACTGTAACAGATTTTTTTTTTTAACCAATGCAAGTTCTGTCTTTGGAGTGTTTAAAGGAAGGAGTCCTATGATTTTTATCTCATTTAAAGAGCAGGCTGCAGCAACTCCACTGAAAAGCTAGCTGCCAAATAGGTGACCTTGGTGGGAAAGTGGTGGAGGTGATGTTGATAAGAGCAATATTAAGGATTCATACACTTAGCCTCTATTGCACTTGTATCATACCATGGATCATCTAAGATTAATCATAGCCAACTTTGGCTAAACTTACCTATGAATGTGCTAATGACTTATTGAGCAGTGTGACATGCCATTTCTGATCAGTCCCTTTGGCATTCTGAAGAGGCCTTCATTTTGCATTGGGATGTGACAAATGTATATAATTGGATAATGGTGTCTGGGGCTCTAGCTTTGTCACAGTAAATTTTGTAAGATGTTAAGGGTAATGCTTATGGAAATTATGAAAAGTCAGATCTGTTTTGTGCTAACTGAACTACATTTGCAGAGCCGGCCTTTTAAATTTCTTTTTTGATAAACATATTGGTACCCTTTGTCATCTTTTACATACATATATATTGGGATGCTCAAGAGTACCCACGGTTGTGAGGCAACTCCCCACTACCAGCCTTTAGCATGAAGTGGTCTTGTCTGTGCCTGCTGTAGCTCGGCTCCCTGAAACTAACGTTCTTTGGCAACACAAGCACTGACACCCAGGTCTCTGCAGACCTTGCTGTCTCTGTGCTGGTTAGTGATAGGCTTCACCTACCTCCAGTGCTCAGAGCATTCTCTGCAGTGTCCAGCCCTTAACCCCTGGACACTCACAGAAATTACCAGGTTGCCATTTCAAGGGGTTAGTGTACACAGTGGCTTGTTTGTCAACTGAGGATCAGCTCGTGAACATCGCAGCACTGAGATATATTTATAATGAAAACAATCATAAGTTTATTATCAAAAGCTAAGATTTAGAGAGCGTGAGTAAGGATAATAATGGAAACAGGTCACATACAATCAATATATGCTTTCTAGAGACTAAACTTTAACAGGTTAACCGTCTGTCTAAAGAAGTCTGTTCTCACCTAAAGCAGCCCCCCCGTGTTTCCAACCAGTATAACTGGGAACCTCCTTTCATGAATGCAAAAAAGCTCTGGTCTTCTTGTTTCCTTGGTGAAGGAGCAAATGGTATCCTTTTTCCTTCTCCTTATATCCCCGAAGTCCATTGCTTTTGTCCCCAGAGAAAGGACGATCCCCTGTGGTTCATTTTCTAGTTTGCTGACTCCAAGTTGGTTTCACATCCTCGTGTTGACATTGAATGCAAATAGGGCTTCCTTTGTATTGACCTACAATGCTTAATTTATTTGTGAACTGAGGCAGGCAGGTGAATATACATGCTTTGTCTGGCAGAAACCTGTTTGTCAACTTTTCCTTGATTCACACATTTTTGCAAACCTATTTTGTGTGTGGGTGAGAGTTAGAAGCATATTTTCTGTTGTGTTTGTAGATGTCCACGTGCACATATAACTTCTTGCATGTATTTGTACATGAATCTCACACTGATATTAATGACCATTGTGATCCTGGCTTTATTTAAGATCTCAAGTGATATTCTTTATAGATAACTACTATGAAAGCAGTGTGCTAGGTGTAGTGAGATTGTCAGACCTGGTAGGAGTTGTTGTTATAGAACAATGAACACTTTGCCAGCTGTACCAGTAGGCCTCTTTCACACTTACCACGTTTCAGTTCTCCTGCTTTCCTGTTCTTAACAAACATTGCCTTAAAGCTTTGAAGGGTGCCTTACCACCATCTCGCTCTCTCTCTTTTTTTTAAAACTAGTCTTCCTGTATTAGCTTGCTGGTTTATTGGTAGGGATCCCTTAGTGTAAACCCACCATGTCTGTCCTTTTGTGTGTCTGCAGTGTGCTGCTGATCCCCCACTCACTGAAGGTCTTTCTTTGGGGGTTGTTTTAAGACTTTCTCTCTCAGTTTTGTGTAAGTGTTCAGCCTGCTCACTCACCCCATTTATTTATTCACATGCAGAAATCCCCGAAGGCCAAACAATAAATGTGCAAATGGAAGTCATGGAATCTTTGAGTCTTGTGGCTTGCATAGGAAATGTCCTCCTGGCAGCAAAGGAAAGACTCTGTTTATGTGTATATTTGGGAAGTTGTAATCCCAGAATTTGAGGATTAAATGACAGAATATCAGATACAAACACTAATGGAACTAGTGGAACTAATGTTTTTCAACTGGCAGAACAGATTTTGTAACTGGAAACATGGTCATCAGGTTCTTATTTTTTAAAAATATTATTTTAATATTTTATATTTTCTAGGGTGAAACTAGAGCAGAAGTTCCCCCAGGAGCTCCGCAAGAGAGAGCTGCAGTTATTGTTGAAATAGACAATATGGAACTAAATGAACTCAGAAAAAGGTCAGGATTGATGACATCAATTTATGATGTTTCTTTTCTTGTTTATGACAATGCTACTTCTGCTCTACTGCTTCACACTCCTGTTTCTTTGCAAGGCTGTTTTTGGAAGCTAAAATTGATGTTTAAGAAAGGGAATGTTTACAGTGAATTTATAAGAGAGGAAGGATGGTCCAGTGGTTAGGGCGCTCACCTAGGATATGGGAGACCCAGGTTTAATTTGCTTCTCTGCCACAGACTTCCTGTGTGACCTTGGCACCTCGGTGCCTTGCGCTCCATCTGTAAAATGGGGATAATTATGATTCCCTACTTCACAGGGATGTTTAGGATAAATACATTAAAAAGATTGTGAATCATAGGACTGGAGGGACCTCGAGAGGTCATCTAGTCCAGTCCCCAGGGCTCATTATTATCTAGACCCTCCCTGACAGGTGTTTGTCTACCTGCTCTTGAAAACTTTCAATGATGGAGATTCCACAATCTCCCTAGGTAATTTATTTCAGTGCTTAACCACCACATTTTTCCTAATGTCCAGCCTAAACCTCCCTTGCTGCAATTTAAGCCCATTGCTTCTTGTCTTATTGTCAGGTTAAGAAGAACAATTCTTCTCCCTCCTCCTTGTAACAACCTTTATGTACTTGAAAACTGTTATCATGTCCCTTCGCAGTCTACCCTTTTCCAGACTAAACAAACCCAATTTTTTCAATCTTCCCTCATAGGTCATGTTTTCTAGACCTTAAATCATTTTTGTTGCTCTTCTCTGGACTTTCCCCAATTTGTCCACGTCTTTCCTGAAATGTGGCACACAGAACTGGACACAATACTCCAGTTAAGGCCTAATCAACGCGGAGTAAGTGGGAGAATTACTTCTCGTGTCTTGCTTACAATACTCCTGCTAATACATCCCAGAATGATGTTTGCTTTTTTTGCAACAGTGTTACACTGTTGACTCATATTTACCTTGTGGTCCACTATGACCCCCAGATCTTTTTCCGCAATACTCCTTAGGCAGTCATTTCCCATTTTGTATGTGTGCAATTGATTGTTCCTTCCTAAATGGAGTACTTTGCATTTGTCCTTATTGAATTTTATCCTATTTATTCAGACCATTTCTCCAGTTTGTCTAGATCATTTTGAGTTATAATTATAAGCACTTTGAGATCTACTGATAAAAAGCGTATACAAGAAATAGGCATTATTAAGCGTGTAGTTGAATTAACAGTTTAAATATGAAAAAAATTGAGGTATATTTGGTGATATTTTATTTTTAAAACCAGACCTGTCGTACTCAAGTTACAAGTGACTTGACTTTGACTCCGGGTCAGTATTACAGTTGGGCAAACAATGGATTTTTCAGTTAGTTGGCAATTCCAAAAAATGTACAAAATGATTTTCAGGTCAAACTGAAAAGGAAATTTTTGAAATTTCGGGGAAATCAAAAAGTATATATTTTTTAATTGTGTCAAAACTGAGCATTTTGTTTCAATTTTGGGGATTTTGACAAGAGCTAAGGAGAACTAGATTCACAGAAAGCCTAGGCAGATGAGGAGAAGTAGGAGGAGTCCTCCCTTATTATCTTTAGGCTAGTGGTTAGGAATCTTTCTTGGGATGTAAGAGAAACCCAGGTTTGATTTTCCCCCTCTGCCTGATGTGGACAAGGAATTTGCACTTGGGTCCCCCACATTGCAGGAGAGTGCCTAGCCACTGGACTACGGGATATTATGGTGTGGGTCTTTCTCAGTCTCTCCTGTGGAAGTTGTTCCACTGTTTATAAATAATTAGTCTTTGGAGCAGGGACATGAACCTGGCTCTCCCACTTCTTAGGAGAGTGCCCTAACCACTGTGCTATAGAGTCATTCCCACTCTTTTTTCCTGGCCCAGTGACTGAATTTCCTTTCTGAATGAACTACTTTCCAGCCATTTTGTGACCCTAGTCCTCCTTTGCTTATGTCAAAATACATGAAATCAGAAAGAGAAATTTGGCGTCTGGTCAGAACAAAATATTTTAACATTACAGAAACATTCTGAGTGTTTTGGTTTTCTTTAAACTATTCAGCAAACTCAACATGAATTTGTGATTAGTTTTGGGTAAGCCAAGACTGGTGAAATATTTTCACTGAAAATTGCAGTCTCTACTCAGCATACCTGAACCTCTGTAATAAATACAAGTAAATTACATAAAAGGATGATCAGGAAATTTAATCTTCCTTTCTGTGCTTAAATTGATTTAGTATTTGCATTTGCTGTAGGCTTGCAGAGACAGAGCAGCAGTATGATTCAGTGCAACAGGCCCTGTCACAGCTGACAGAAACACTGTCAGAAGAAAGGAGTAGGAGAGAAGCTGCAGAAGAGGCCTTAGGACTCACTGAGGAACAATGTAAAAGGTTGGAGATACTTGCACAATATTTTTCCCTTTTCAGACCATATGAACTGACCCTACAATTGGAGCTATGCAGCAAACCCTTATGTTCACAGGGAATAATGCCTTTGAAATCAGTGAGGGGGCGGGGGAGCTCCACATGGGCACAGAGATTCATTCGTATGGATCTAATTGTAGTATCAGGGCCTAAACAATCAATTGCAGGTTTTTCCCTCTTGGAAGAATGTAAGAATTTTCCTTCTGAGTTACTGTGGCTGATGTTAATACTGAGTGTCTGTGTGTCTAAAAATTGGAGCTTGAAGTTTTTATTTGTTGTTTGCCACTGTTTTTTTAGTGAGGTTAGTGATGAAAAACGTTGGATTTCCGTGGCTAGGTACAGAACCAGTTTGAGAGCAGTGAAAACTTGTACAGTGCTTGGCTAGTGTGCATCAAGCGCAAATTGCAGGGTCTTTGTGCTGATCTAAATTTTAAAATGTCTACCAATTTTCTAGCTGAACTCACTAGTCAGTACTGTTTCCCCCTCCTTGAATTAGCAGAGCATTCCACGTATAACAGATTTTATATATACACTCAGAGAAATAGCCATATTTTAATTACATCCAAATAAATAAAATCACCATCCTAATTTGAGAAGTACTAAATAATCAGCTAGAGAGAGGAAAAGAAAGTTTGGGTTAATATGAATAAGTAAAACATCCAGAATCGAAAATAGAGGCTGAAAAAGACAAATAGTTTCCCTTTGTTTTCTTTACCAAAAGCAGTAAGGACTAGCTGAGCTGTACAAAAGAATATTTTCATAGATAGATGATAATTGATAATGGTACTTCTAAAGAGTAGATAACTCAGTAATGTTTCCCCCTGCCTTCTCAATTTCTTTTCTGTAGACTCGAAATGAGTAGTTACAGGTCTGTACCTAGAGAATACACTGTTCAGATGGAGTCTGAGGAGGAAAGAGAGGCTTTGATCATCAATCCTAGTGAACATATTGTTGTACGTAAGGTAAGTAAATGTGTAACCTGGAAGAAATTCTGAGTCATAAGTTGCCTAAAAATGGTGCTCACTTTGTACACCGCCAGCTGCAAATGGCTCAGAGAACGGGGAAGTCTTTTCTCTTCAAATTATTTTAATTAAATCATATTTGTAATAAATAACCTGAAAGAATGGAGCAATAAATGAATAATAAAAGAGTAAAACTGTGAACAACTAAACACATTGGCCAGATCCTCAGCTGGTACAAATCATCATAGCTGCTTTGGCTTCATTTATACTAGCTGAGAATCTGCCCATTGTATGTGTAAACACTCTCAGGTGAGAGATTGCTGTTGTAAATATGTATATCTGGAGGCTGTCTTTTCAAGGGATGAACTAGAAGAGAAATATTACAGATATGTGGGAGTGTAATGAATTTACTGAATATATTTTTGAATCAAACACCTGAAATTGGCCAGCCTCTGTCTCTGTACTAAAAATCAAACATCTAAGAATCTTTTATAGTGCCCAGAGATCATGGTGATGGGCATACCCTGGAGAGATACATATGTGTACGTTCAAAATGTCAGTAAAATATTGAAAATAAAACAGTATGTTTGACTTTATCTTTCAGTATGCTGTTATGGATGGTAACCTGTACTTTCATGCAAACATCAATTAAATAAAATATACACAGTTTATGTATATTTTGGGGGTATATTGGGTATTTACATTTATTATATAAATTGTGTGTGTGCATATAATTTAGTCTATATCTCTGCTCTGTGTGCATGTAATTAAATATTATACTCATCCTATAGCCTCTTTCCCCTCCCCGCTTATCTTTTGTAACTGCTCCATTCTTTTCCCCATAAAAAGCAACAGAGGGTCCTGTGGCACCTTTAAGACTAACAGAAGTATTGGGAGCATAAGCTTTCGTGGGTAAGAACCTCACTTCTTGCATCTGAAGAAGTGAGGTTCTTACCCACGAAAGCTTATGCTCCCAATACTTCTGTTAGTCTTAAAGGTGCCACAGGACCCTCTGTTGCTTTTTACAGATTCAGACTAACACGGCTACCCCTCTGATCTTTTTCCTATGAATCCCTTATTTTAATGGCATGTGCGCAGACACTCTCTTCTGCAGACCCAGCTGGAAGGATTACAGTACTTCACAAATCTAGAGTATAATGAGAGCTGCTCTTGCATCTTTTTTGATGATTATTTATTTGAAATTGTTTCCTACAGATGAAAGGAGGAGCCCTTTCTTTCAAAAGATGGCTTCGAGGGCGAAGCCTTTACTGCTCCAAGCTGCTGACCTCCAGAGCAAAATCCCGTTATTTATTCCTCACATACTTGGTGACACTACATCTTGTTATTTTTCTGTGCCTCACTGGCATTCTCTAAATGCACTGCAATTGCTGGGTAAATTATTTTCCTTTAGATAATGGTGTGCCAACGCAAGATAATGGACTTTTCACATGCTGTTGTTAAACTATGCACTGGACACAGTTGTATATATCCTCATTATAATATGTGCATTTTGAGCTTCTCGCAAGAAGTTTCTGTATATCACGGTTACTCCAAAGTTGACTTGAATTGCTCCTTAACAATGGAATATTATATTTGCTAAAGAGAAGATATTCCCGTTCAGTGCAACCTATAAAGAAACTGCTGCATTATATTGTTTGGGAATATATAATGATTGAATACTATTGAATTGGGTTGTAAATGGTATCTTTTCTATATAAATTTTATTTTAAGAAAGTTACACTATAAATTTTAAGGGAATATCAACTATTACTGTTTATTAGCTTCTTGATAATAGCAAGAAGCTTTACCGAGTGCAATAAAAAAAAAAGCTGGGTTCATTGTGGGTTTCTTGACTGGAAATAAAACTTTAAGAACTGAACTCTGCTCTATAGGTGTGTGAAGAGTAAATACTTGTAATTGTCTGTGTTGTTGCTAACAGGACGCACAATTATGTAATTATATTAATGAGAAAAGACTGACAGCTAACAACAAGGAGAACTTTGACACTAGGAGTTCGAATATCGAATCAAAATTAAGACATTCCTCCTTAGCTAATCTCAAACTGCTTTTAGCCAGATCACATCACTTCAAACTGCAGTTGCTCTACCCTATCTCAGTTAGCTGAATTACTATTATTTTTTGCTTGTTATACTAGTTTCTGGCATCCCCAGTCAGAATCAGGCTCCACTGCACACATAGGGCATCTGGACTGCTGGCATTTGAAGTTTTCTTATGTTCTCTTAAACCTTTGGATAAATAGGTTGTGTGTTCATGCACACATTTCAGAACCTTTCTTCTAATTCAGTTAAGTGAGAAGCACATAATACATTTTCAAGTGAGTGGTGAGGAGACGTACTTTCAGCTGTTTTCTGTATGAGCATAATGAAGCATCTCGTATAAAAATATGCATGCTTTGTTATAATGTACACTGAAGTTGAGTGAAATTTTCCGGGTCCAAAAATAATTTTTTGTGAAGAAAAGAGACTGCTGCTAATACTGTGACCTGATGATTACTATGTAATAGGGAGTTTTGCATTATTTTACCAGTGATTTCAGCTATAGCAAATTATCTGTAGCAGAGTAGTTCACTTTCTGAACCTGTTTTTAACAGAACAGATTACTGTGTATGCGAAATGTAAATGAGACATTAATATCAGTTGAGGCTTTAGATGGGATCACAGAAGTCCTTTAATGTAGTATTCCATGTTGGATGTTAAAGTCTTGGAGATGTAGTTTTTTAAACACCAGGTGACCCATCAGAATCCGATTTAGTGCTTTTTTGGCAAATATGATTTTTTTTTCCTTCAAGTTTTACCACCAAAGGCTGCTCTCCTGCTACCTTTTTAGCCTTTTTCTTCAGTTCATTAAATGTTCTTATTTTTTCATCAGATACATTATGCTGCTTGCACCATACATTATTTATAGAATCATTTTTAATTAGAGCCAGAATAGGATATTGGTGCACTTTGAATCAGCTTGATAGTGATAGCAATTGTATTTGTGTTTACATGCACTCTAATTACAGATGACACACAATACAGGTTAAAGTTTAAGGGAAAGCCAGAAACCTAATTAGCTTAGGCCATGCTTTTTGCCATACACAAATAGTTATCTGATCCAGAAGAGCTATGTTAAAGACGTGATACCCGTTAAAAGAGCCATGTTAGAAAAAGATTAGCTGATCAAATGACCTTGTTAAAAAGGAATAAATTATGGTCACCTTAACTTTCCTCCTAAGGATCACAAAGGAGTGCTTGCAGTTGGGGAAGGCTGTCTAAGTAAGCTCTAACTGTGTGATTGTCACGTTCTGGGGTGCAGTTCAGATCAGTGAGAGATTGTGTCACTGTTTGTATTATAACCACGAGTGCCCCAAAATGCTTCTGCTCCCTGCCTGTGGGGGACACATAACCAGCATGCACTTCATGTTCTGTATACTGTACACCTGACTCAACACTTTGAATCCAAAGCCTGCCAGCAGTTACCACAAACACGCTTATGTCTTACCAGACTTGGTTAATGTTAGCAGTGACCCCAACACACTCCCAGTCCCAAAACCATATGCTCTGCAGTGTGTAGCCCTTTCCTGAACAGCTCAGGGAAATAATAGTTTGCTTATTCCTTTAAAGAGACAAAAGTGTAGCTTATTAACTTACAACTGGGTTAGAAACACCCTTCCTTGTAACTACTGCACGGCATAGTACAAATAAAACAAATTTATTAACACTAGGACATAGGTTAAGTGATGACAAGAAATAGAAGTAGAGAAGGTTACAAGCAAGTAAAAGTGAAAACATGCATCTAAAAGTCTAAAGCTTAATCCAGCAAGTTACAGGATTTGTTCAAGATGGTTCCTCTCTCTCTCACCAGTCTTCCTTTTTCCTACCCCTGGCTTTCCCTCGGTTAGGATCTTCCACAGAAATACAAGATGATGGCTTCCTTTGACTTACTAGATGAAAATCTTTATAGGTTTCTTACCTATATTCCATTTCCAGACATTTAAAACTCTTCCCACCCCCATTGAAGGACTCAGCTTGCAAGAGCTCTGTTACCTTATGTCTGTCTAGTGATGGATAATTTAGGAGTTCTCTGCCCCTCCCTTTATAGTTCAGTAAACCTTTGAAAATCAGATGTCTCAAAGTTCATTGACTTTGCTTCAAGAGGGAGGATAACCTCATTCTCTTTTTCCCTCGTGGTCTTCCCGTACCCCTGCTCATTTCTATGTAATTCGGGCTTCCACTGTTTTTGGTCACACCTTGCTTAATTTCTTTGGCGACAGATGATGTGACATTCCCTCCGGTCTTCGAGAGACCAGTTTCTCCCTTTGGGTAAAAGACTGTAAAGCATAATATCTGTGTATTCATAATCCCTTATGTAGAGTTAGTACATACAGTTCACATTATTAATCAGCAGTGTGTCATGACCTTTCATAAAGGATCTTGCTCAATGCACTTTTATAATACAATAATATTGTATGTCAGTTGATTTAATTGTTTGAGGTTCAGCTCTCTGTCTTTATAGACCAATGTATTTTTTGAAAAGTAAAATCGAGACCAGGCTTCTCTCTCCTGCGGAGTGTAGATGCCAAGCTGTCTCCTCCCACACTTGCTAACCTGATAGCTTTGTTTACCTAATGTGTAAATAGACCTTCATTGTCTCTGCCTGATGATGGACTGGTCAGAGAAGCAAACTTACTCCTTTGTCTAGGGCAGACCTGTTTACTGGCTCCCTCTGACATGCCTGGTTTAAACACATTTTAGTCATAGTTCTAGCATATATCCATAACTCTTAATACCCATTGCGTACGTACATCATGCAAGAATATTAATGATCAGTGAGTTTAGTTTTCCAATGACATTACATGACATCTTTTAGATACCTAACACATGTTATAATGAGTGTGTCAGGCCTGACACGTTACTGACAGAATAGTGAACCACAAATGAGCCTGCGTGACACAATGATACTTAAATGGTCAAGTTTACCGAGCTACATTTAGGACTGACTTGATCCTCCTTTCCAAGTTTAGCACTCCCATGCATATGTGGGTTTAGAAATCCTAGGAAGAAGGCCAGGTTATAGTTAATTGTGTGTGTTTTAACTTTGTCATTAAATGGCTAACCCATTTTTGTAAGACCTAACACAAGAAAAGGTATCTTCTAGTAGATAAAAGATCTGCATGCATGCAACATTTCATAAAAATCTCTCTCAACTAGTGTGGACTTTGCAATACCCAAGATTCACAGTCAAATTTGGCCTTTTATAATAGTAATGCTTGTAGCTGTAATGCTCTTGTCTTCAACTTGCTTTCAGCTTCTTGCTGTGGGAATCGTCATCTAAAACCACATGTCTAAATTAGTTTTGATTTAGCAATACTTTATAGACAAGCGGAACTGTCCAGGTTTATGGTGACATAACTGAAATGAGTAGCTTTCCTAATTGTCTTCAGAAATGCAGTATGCAGTGATTGCACAGCATTCATGAAATTATTGTTGGACCTGAGGATATTCCACACCACAGTCCTTGATAGCGCTTGGGTATTGTTCAGTTTAGACCATATAAAAGGCCATAGTTCCACTACTCTTATTGGAGCTTTGCTGAATTATAACAACTGAGAATTTGACCGATTATCTATTCAGAAGTGTTTGTAAAATGTGTTGTTAGGATTCAAGTGACTTCAAATAGTGGGCCTGATTCTGATCTTATTTTACCAGTTTTTACACTGCTGTAGCTTTACTGCGTGCAATGGAATGGCTCCTGATTTATACCAGTGTAAATGGTAACAGAATTGGGACCATTGTTTTGAAGACAAGGAAGGAAGGAGGAGATGGATGGGTATTGTCATTCACTATATGACTGATTTTAAATGGTTTCCTATTTCGTACGTTAAAACAAATAGGGACCATGTTTGGAACTTGAGACTGAGATTCAGGACACATGAATTACTTCTTCACTCTGCCACTTCCTCTGTGACCTTGCATGGCAATTGCTTCTACTGTCTCAGTTTTCTCTATTTGTAAAATGGGGATATACCTAATGACTGACACAAAATAAAGGGAGGACATAAAACTAGATGTTTGCAAAGTGCTGTGATCCTTTTGGATAAAAGGATCTGTATAAGTGGCAGAATGTTATTTGGAAGTTTGAAAATGACTGCTGTTCATCTGTGTGAAAGCAAAAGGGAATGATGAACAGTTTAGAAGTCAGTCTGACTGCAACAATGACAGCTGTTCAGAGATCAAGAAAGTTTACATAATCAGGCAAGGGGATACATACGATCACGTGAATAACCTTTCTTCCTGTGTATAAGACCTACTCTCTAGAAGTGAAAGGCACTTCGAGAGAGAGAAGAAAATTGAACACCTGGTGAGTTCTGAAATGGAAAGAGTCTAATGGCTACAGGGATGTGGCAGATACAAAGCTGATTGTAAGAACTTGTCGCATGGACTGAAGTGAATCATCGACTGAGGGTTGAAGGAATCTTGTACTTGAATTCTGCTACATAGTCACATGGCTACATTCGGGGTGGGGTATTTACAAAGTCAACCTTTATTCATAGTAGTGTCTGAGATGAGTAGTGTCTCCTTTTTGGAGAATAGTGAAATAATGCAGAATCTCAATTACTACTGTAGGTAAATGTTGACTCCTTAATAGCAACCACTGTAAGTGCGTTGGCCAACAAAGCTATTGCTTATTCTCTTTAATGGGTCTTTATTTCTTGGATTTTGACCAAGACTGTTTATTTTCTATTTAGATTCCCCATTTCATGATCTTATAAAAGTTCAAGAACGTCACAGCCCTTTTGTGATAGACACACTGTATATAATAACCCTCTTTAGATGTAAAATAGTTATCACTCAGTTGGGTGACTTGTTGCTGATTCAACCCCCATTTTCAGGTACAGAGTCATCCAAGCACCAAGATAAGCTGGCTATTTTCTGTCTCTGTACTACAAAAACAGATAACGTGTACAGTTGAAACACCAGTACTGTACATGGTAAGAACTTTTCCTTTAACCAGTGGCAGCTTCTAGGTGGCTGGTAAGAGAATGATAGTAGGCTATTTTTAGTTATTTGTGGTGTAATGAAGCAAAAAGCTTTTCAATGACAGCAATGGATGTACGGATTATTTCAGTCTTATTCAATCCTTGTGTGAGAGGGTATTTTTCGTATTTTAGTGGGGGGAAAGTCTACTATTAACCATAACGTAGTGAACAACTTAGTGGGAAAGAATCCAGGGTTGTCAGAAATTCTGCCCTAATTTATCCCGTCCTTTAAGCTGTCACTTTGATAAGCACAAGCTGAAAACAAATGTTTCCAAAAATGGCTTGACAGATGTAGGTATTCTGCGAACTCCATTCCTCAAGCTGATATAAATGTAATAGAAGGTGAGATCATTTCACTTTTACAAAGGAGCTTTTACAAATCCTCGCCATCTCCTGTTCCCTTGGGTAAGTATTGCCCTGAGATAATTTCACAATGTATTTGATGATTTAACACTACAGGTCTAGGATCTCAAAGGTACCCGAAACTCTTGCTCTATTGTAAACCATGGGCTAGATCTTGCTTGTCTCAGTCATGCAAGTAATGCCAAAAGGACTAGTCCTTAAGTGATCAAAATGTAACCCCATAGTTATAAAGTGCTGAGCCTCAGAATTATTAAAAAGTAGTGCGCCATAGAACTTCACTTCCTTTGTGACTTGGGAGAACTGGTGCATGTAAACTGAGCTGCCAGTTAGTGAGCAACCAGAATAAAAAAAGCAAGGACAATGGAGCACAAAATGAACTTTCTTTATGTATTCTGTTGCTTGCAGTTATTTGACATTTCATAGTACAACAGTAAATGTGCTGCATATTTTGTAAAAGAAATATAATGTCTTAGTAATACAAGACCTTTTCAGTACTTAATTTAATTTTGCGAGTTTGAGAGGGATGGGCAGGTTTTTGTGTGTATATACTAACAAGACTTTAATGTCGTATAATTGTTTTAATATTAAAGATTTGAATTCAATATGAATGGAATTATGTACTCCTAATGCATATGGGAGTCCACTTGTATGGATGGTGAAACTGCATACACCTTCCAAAAAGATTTATTTAGGAAGGGCTAAGTACTCTTGGCTATAAAATGCAGGACTGAACTGCAGTAGATTTAGAACCTTATTAGTGTTTTCTGGCTGGATAAGGACCACATTGGAAAACATGGAATCAATGCAAAGTTTTCTATTGTGTTTTAATGGGGTTTGGTTTAGGAATTAAGAATAAAGAAGGTTGTTTAAAGGCACTTAATACGCTGTCTCTTAATGCTCAATGAAGCATCATATACATTGAGCAAACATTACAAAATAGCGCTGAAACTGTTAACTAACCTGCAGTGCATTTTACAGTATCACATTGTGGTAAGAGAGCAAAAACCCCATCCTTCATCTGCTAAGTTAACTTTAAAACCCCCATGTTAGGTTATTGTGCAGGTACAAAATACCAGTCGTATAACTGGTTAAAAATGCTGGTCAGAATTTGTTACTTAGTTTCAAATTATATTAAGAAAAATATTGAAATGTTTAATAACGTCCTAGAAGACTTACCCCTGTTTTATGAATGATGAGTAAAGAATAGCAAGTGAAATACTCAATGCAAAATAAAACAAAACAAAAATAAAAGTGAAATGAAGATCCAGAAAATTCATGTTTAAGCCAAAGCCAACCTTCCTGTCTTTGTTCCCTTGTTGGTTTTATAAAAATTTTTTTTTAAAAACTCAAATATTCCTTACAACATTTCATCCCTGAGCTAAATTGTTTTTATGGTCTAAATATAAAACTCCTGAAACAAAAGTTTACAAGAGAAGTATTGGCTTAAGCAGCAGCCGTGTTTTAAAATCTTTTTTTCATTGGATGAAAAAGGGTAAAAATGGTAAGAATAAAAGTATACCTTGGGATCCCTAAGTTGTAATCAGCACACTATCTTTTCATAACTTTCTCAGAAGACCATTAAACCAATTTCCTCCTAAATTATCCCACTATTTTAGTGGACATTGTTAGTAGCAGTTTTTGTAAGTGAGTTTAAATTGGAAATAAAATTGCAATCCAGCTAGTTTTTGGAAATTCTCCTTCCCGTTCTGAATACCTACAGCAGATATCCAAAGAGCTGCTTTCGTGGAAAGGAGCTAATTGTTAATGCTTCTGTAGGTTCAGCAAAAAGAAAGCTGCAGGCATGACTCCATCTTGGAAGTATTCTGAAAATGATGCACTGTAAGCCTACGGAAGGGAGGAGGGGCGTTTCAGAACCCGAGCTGTAGCTTCAAAGCACTGTTCAGCTATTTTTTGGAGTGCTAGCACAAGCCCTGCTACCCCAAGTCTAGTGTTAACTCAGGTTGGGAGGCTCTCCGCTGCTGGCTGGACAGATGTGCCCTAAGTGTTGAATGCTTCAGCATTTGGGGCCTTATGATGCTGACATAATAAGCAAAACATGGCTTTCTCACTAAAGATAAAGGGCCAAATTCTGCCATTGGTTATATTTACACAGTAACCCCAATGACTTGAATCTCCACTACCCTAACCTGAGTGGAGGCATAGAGCTCTGTGAGTTGCCATGAAGGGAGATGCATGTTCTTTCTACTCTATTTCTGCCTATGTAAATGGAGGGGAGTGCCTGGCCTGAAAAGTAAACTTGAGAGATCCCAAACAGAAGGCTCCAGTGAAATCAGTGGGACTTGTGCCATCAATTTTAATGGGGCCAGGATTTCACCCCATGTGTTGGTAAGCTGCTAGAGTCAAGTTGTTTTTGGCTAGTTGAGCCAGTCATGTCCCATGCCACTTCCTAGAATAGCCCTGTTGATAAGGAATTCATCATTTACAAATATAGAATAGTTTCTGTAGCAAGCACTTAACATAACAGAGCAGCTGCCATTTAAAAATGCACGGCAAACACTTTCCTGCAACTTTGTGGAAGGATTATTTTTAGTCATTCATTTCTGAGATTGGCTCTTACATGCTGGGGAGAAGGGGAAATTGGGATATGTTTGTAGACAACATAAATGGTGTTTAGTACAATTGATAGTGTTACTCTGATACACTCACTTGCAATTTAGTCCTAAAAAATCTCCCAAAACAGCATCTCAGAGTAACCTGTTTGAATGCAGTTATTACCTGTAACAATAACCCCCCTCTGTGGTCTCCACAGAGCCATGCTGATCTGAAGTACTAGCATTTGAAAGAGATTTTTCCTCTCTATTGATTATATATATATAAAATATGAAAAAATGAATTCAGTCTTAACTATTCAAGTACCAGGAAAAGTGGATCATCTAGAATAGTAATTCAGCCCTGGCAAAGCAGGGGAGAGATGAACATTTCTGCCCTGTCTGAATGTGGCTAATGGTCATTCAATAACACCAAGATGTCTCTGGACTCTTTGGGGGTGCTTTAGAGGTTATGTAGATAAAGGGTTGCCTTTTGGATGTGGGAGACAAAGGTCTTGGGCCAGCATACCTCTTCAGCATATGTTTACCTTTAAGCAAGAGTAGTTCCATTAGCTTCAATGGGACCTACTCTTGCTGAAAGTTAAGCATATGCTTAAGTGCCTTGCTGAATTGGGGTCTTAGTGGAGTCTTCACTGTTTAGCGTTAGTTTTCAAGACTCTCTTTTACAGCAATGTAATTTCTAAATGATCAAGAGCTGCTTCTGCCCTCAGCCACCTGCAGTAAGTTGCTAGAGCTGAGAGATACGATGTGTGATGAAGATGAAACCACTGCTCTTGTATGTGATAATGGCTCTGGGCTTTGCAAAGCTGGATTTGCAGGGGATGATGCACCAAGGGCTGTTTTTCCATCGATCGTTGGACGTCCTCGACACCAGGTCAGTTTGTTCCAAAAGGATAAAGCTGTACGGTTTTATTTCTCTTACACCGCCCTTGAAAACTGTGTTAGGAATGAAATAAGCATAATGTAGGTCTGAGCCTGCAGTTCTTTTGTAAAAAAATTAATTTTCTTAATGTTTTCCCCTCAAAATCAGGGAGAACAGAAAAAAAGACAAAAGAACAAGAACTTATGGAATGGGAAAGGAAAGGAAGGCAAGGGGGCAGGGAAGGAAAAGGAGAGACTTATCTTGATTTTCATCCGCTAGGAATTAATCAAAGTTTTCTAAAAGGTTAGACCAAATATTTTCAAACTTGTCTGAGGTCCCTCTTCTCCAATGATCCAGTTCTAATGCAGGCCAAACTTTCACAAGTTTCCATGGGACACTGGTGTGTTTAGAAACTGAGGATTTGGGTTGGATGGTTTTATGGGACTAAGCTGTCTTGCCCTTGTTGGAATGCTTTTGCCAGTTCTCTGGAAAAGGTATTGTTGGGCTGTCAAGTCAATTATTGATCTTCAGGAGAATTTTGATGGCCCTTTCAATGGTATTCAAGTGCACTAGTGAAACTGCAACTAGTGCTTCAATGTCATGAAGAGGGGGTGTAGCAATGATCTCTTCAAAATTTCATTGTAAATATTTTCAGCTTTATAAAACTGCATACCTGCCAGTCAGTAAATGAAAAATCCATCTACTCTCACGATTTGCCACTGCTTTTTAACATGACATTGATAGCCCTCTTTTTGCCTCCCATTATAAAACTGTCTGAACACTGGGACCTTAAATCATAGATTAGGTGACTAGTGAACCTTCTATGAGGGTAATTGACTAATGATCCTTAGCTGATAGAGGACTATTAGCATAAACAAAATATATTGCTGGGAGACCATAAATACTACTAGCAACCAAATTTATAGTAGAGATAAGGTCCATTTATCGTTACATTAAGCACTGGTAGAGACAATTAAGTTTCAAATTAAAGTCCTCAATAACATCCCTTTATCAAATCCAAGCAGGACTGATAAGTGTAATTTTGTGGCTAGCAGCTTTTTTTAACTGCTTAAATGTCCTTTTATATTTAAAAAGAAAATATTTGTATTTTTAATAATTTTCAAAATTGAGTGCTTGACACAAAATGTAGACTATAGTCTTCTACTTGTCAAAAGTTGTTTACTTATTTCAGTAAAAGAATGGATGGAATTCAAGGTCAGGATGTTAGATTCCTGAAAACTAAATGTGTCTTGGTAGCTATGAATAAAACATGATGAATGAAAACCTGCAATACTGTATGCCCAAAACATAGTATATTATTTAGCTATTTGTCTTGTACATTGGGTTTTATTAATCATTAGAGTTAACATGTAGTTTTAAATTACACACATGCATGCAGCTCAATGGCTGCATCTCCTAAATCATGAAATTAATTAATATCCAGCTACACATGGAATAGATTTTGATGGCAGTTGTTGAATAATATTGTCCCAAATATGCTGTTTACATTACCTTAGGCAAACAAGATACAGTGGCTATTACAATCAAGACAAATTCAAAAAGACTATCCAAGGTTGGATACATCCCAATGTAAATAATATGTCTGAAAGTATTTTTAAAAACTTCCTTTTAAATATGTTGTATAAATGTTTTTCATCTCTCCTGTTGGTGTGTGTATAATGGCCTTTTCAACAAAAGAGAAACAGGGGTAGTCGTGAAACTGATTGTACACAAAACACTGCCAAGTGCACACCGAAAAGGTGGAAAATAGAGAAATATTCTTTCCTCTAACTTTTCAGTTATAGCTTTTTGCAACAACTAAGGATGGTGACTAGAGTAAGTACAACATTTTCAGGCAAAAATGTGATTTTTTTTTTCAAGATGAGTGTCCCTTTAAAATACACAATACAACACTAACTTTTGACAACTACATTTTCCAGGGTGTTATGGTAGGAATGGGTCAAAAAGACAGTTACGTTGGGGATGAAGCCCAGAGTAAAAGAGGGATCCTGACACTGAAGTACCCCATTGAGCATGGGATCATCACTAACTGGGATGACATGGAAAAGGTGAGTGTTTTTCTTAATTTCATTTTGTCTGAGTCATTATTAATTTGTTTTGGGGGTAGCACCCATCATGTGCTGGACATGTTCTAGGCAGAAAGCAGGCACAATCTCTGCCTCCAGGAGCTCATAAAAGAACAGACACACACAACTTATGGGGAAGGTTGTACAGTACATTAGTGGAACAGTCAAAGTGGTGATGGGTCTTGTCTTGGCAATGATCCGGTGGTCATAGGTTGCTGAGGCTTTTTAATTTTTCCAAGTAGTGCCTATAAAATTATACTTATTGTTCCTCAGCTTTGATAGTGTGATCTAGAAATACACTAACGTTATCTGCTGCATTTACAGAGTGCTAGCGCCAGTTTGGAAGTCCTAACTTAGGCAAAGCTGCTTTTTTACATCTATTGGAATTTGGTCAAAGTAAAAGTTTTAGATTGGGATCCCCAGAATCCCAAAGGAGAAACCTTCAAACATTTTTCCTTAACCTAGAAACACAAAAATAGAAGACAGAAAGGACCGATCCTCTCTCCTGGCCTCACAGACAAGAAAGCATGAAAGGATGTCTTTGCCTTGCATTTATATGTTGCTCTCTCAGTGCTTTAGAAGATCTAGGCAAAATGTATTGGGGAATTCTAAATATTTAGAGCAGAAAATATGGAAATTGTCCTTAAATCCCACACTGGCCTCTGAGCACAGGTTTATTCCCTATAGAACATTTTTCTGTTGAGGGCTCCAGTTTAGCCATAAATATCCCAAGGTGACAATGCTTCTTTATTTCCTATCAAGTAAGATTTTCCTGGCATTTATCTAATGGGCTTTATAACTCTTCCATGGAGTATCCATTAAAGGAAGGTCCTAAAGTGGGCACAGACGTTAAGCTGTGCTTCTGGAGAACACATTGGAGAGATAAGGGTCACCAAAGCCTTGAAGGACTGTGAAAGCTTGCATTGCTAAATATAGATAGCACTGTCTACCATGAAGGATCTCAAAGTGCTTTACAGATTATGTGGCAAATAAACTCCGTTACTGTAGACTTAATGACAATTCAATTCTGTGTTCAGGTCCAGGTTTAGTCATCTGATTTTCAAAGATGGTGGAAATCATTGGACTTCATTTATAAAGCCTACATGAGCTAGGACTCATAATCCCCATTGATGGGGACACTTAGGTTACCATAGAAGCCAAGGAGCAGCTTTGCAGCCTGAAATGGAGAATTCCTTCCCTCACATAACCATCCAATGCGTAGGTCGGCTACTGCATCTGGATTTGAACCTTATTGGGCACAGCCACTTAATAGAATTTGGCCCAAAATCTACTCTGTTATACTCCTGCAAACTCATTGATTTCAGCTCTAAACAACAGCAAAATTTGTCCTGACCCACGTATGTTTTTGTATGCATATATTTAAAATTCACTGAAACTGTATTTGAAATGACAAATGCCTCTTTCAACACAACTTTGACCCACCAAGAAAGGAAGCAGTCAGCAAAATGTTGCCCTAAACTGTCTTTTCATTTTAGATTTGGCATCATTCTTTCTATAATGAACTTCGTGTTGCTCCAGAAGAGCATCCTGTGCTGCTGACTGAGGCCCCCTTAAATCCTAAGGCTAACCGGGAAAAAATGACTCAGGTAATGATTTGGATATTGTTGTGTTAATGCTGTGCTGCACGGTTTGTTTCAGCATAGGGGCCAAAGGTTAAATGGTCCTAGATACACAACTCCCCCTTTCTTCCATGATAGGATCAATGGCCATTGGTTGGGACATGTGGAAAAGCTTGTTTTTCTGGTGCCTATGCTGTTCCTGTTCTGTGAATAATAATACAATATTTAGTTATTACATTTGGAAGTGATTCATATTTCTCAAGTGCCTTACAAACCTTAAGTAATCTTCCTTCACAAGAGTGGTTTGTTGCATTGTCCCATTTTTCTCCTGGATTAGAGTCTCTAATTTTAGATGCCTGGCTCTGGACAACTGTAGCCTGATATTCAGCAGGGCTGAGATGTCTTACCTCTCGTTGCCTTCAGCGGGAGTTGTGAGTGCTCAGCACTTTTGAAACTCAGGCCTTTAAGTGTCTAGTTTTGGGCACGTACAAACTGAAGCATGTACCTTTTAAGGACGTAGGACTGGAAATCTGGAGAATTTGTGTAATCAGCTGGTTAGTGTGTTGTGTCATTCTGAGTCTGAGCCACAGAGGATGTGAGTTTGTTATTGATCCCTCTATAGAGCTTGGCTCTTTAGCTCCAGCTGTAGAGACTCATGCTTTATCCTCTGCCAGTTGTCAGGTCAAACCCCAACGTATCAGAGAAGATGCAGCTGTCATGTAAGTGGGGACTTGTCTAGGATTCAAATCGCTGTAGGCCTTATACACTCAAGTTGAGCTTTCTCCATCCAGAGGAAATATGTAATTCACTGCTTAGGGCATGTTTTGTGTTTCCCCATCTCCACAGATGATATGGGTCTGCTCCAACTGCTGCTAAAGAGCCAGATTCTGTAGATGGGGCTGTTGAGACTTAAGCCTTTAACTCTGCTGGAGGTCTCCAGTTCAATCCCCGGTGTTGGCCAAGAGGGCAGTCATCACACATCCACATGATGTAATGAACTAATATTCATATTTGAATATGCAGTATGTTATTTGCATTAATTCCCTCCCAACCAAATCCATTCTTTGGCTCCACATCAAACCATAATTTTCTCTACTTTTTCTCTAGCTCTCTCTTCAAATTCTCCCACTACTCCCTCTAATCCTGCCCCCTGCATGGTTCCCAACCTGTCTGCCCACTGCCATGTGGCTGGAGCAACATCCTACATATTGGGTGAGGCGTTACTCCAGCCATATGGTAAATGTGAGTGTTGGGGACTATGCTCTAGGCTCTAAGCATTGACATACAGCCTAGGGCATCTTGCCCACAACTCTGCAGTGCTATCAGCTGAAGCAGCTTCTCAGGAACCAGGAACAGGGTGTTAAAAATGGGAGTCTCCCTGCCAGTTTGGGGATTTAATAGGTCTAGAGGCATCCAAACTTAGATGGCACTTCTGAAATTTTTTCTGTTGTGTGACATGCCCCCCAGGCCATCTAGCAGATTGGCATCAGAGCCTGATCTAGAACTCAGGAGTTTGTGTCTTCTAGAGCACCACTCCATCTGTAAGGCCATACTGCTTCCCTCAAAAATTGGAGTGCGGAGTCAACAGTAGTAAATACAAATATAGATATATATATGCTCTGCACCAAGAAAAAATTGACATAGATCTGCATTTCCCTTCATGCACATTTTTGGCATGCATTTAATATGACCCTTATGTGTCTAATGAATATGTAAATGAGTTAATTAAGCAATAAGAACTGACACAGCCCCTTACTGGGAGGTAATACAACGTAAGGGGTATTGCAAAGCACATGATGAAGATAGCTGCTTTCAACAACCAAACAGTTGTTTTCACAGCAAGACGTGCTTGGTAGTGTGTCTCTGCCATTATGCAATGATGATAAATTCAATTTTAAAATTTAAAAAAACCCATGATTATGTATCTCTTATTACATTGAGCCATTAACTGGAAATGAAATGCCAGTAATTAAAATGTAGTTTGTCACTGAAAGGAACAAATCCTTTTTGTTAAACCATAGTCTCTTTGCAGAGATGCTAACATATGAAATCAAGAGTCAAAATTTAACCCATCTGTCTTCATTGGCTCCCACTGGTGTAGATGCAGGTCTGGGAGGGAAGTAGTAATGAGGGAAAGTGGCCACAACATTCCCTCCACTAGGGGAGACATATTGCTCTCAGGAATGTGGGCAGCACTGACTGGGAAAGGGATGCGCCCATGTTATCAGTGCTTGCCCTAAACAGCTTTCACTAGCAGAGATCCTAGCAAGGCCAGTTGAAAACTAAAGCTGCTCCACCTGGTGGAAACCTGAGGGAGAACCTGTAGTATGTAAATAGAAGCATATTTTCTAAGGTGGAAATGGTACATTAGGTACCTAAGTGTCATTTGCACCTTTGGAGATCTGCCCTGTAACATAGAAGGTTCTCAGATACTATAGCAATGGGTACGCCTGCTATAGGTACTTAGCGAGAACTTCATCTGTGGTCCCTTTTATCCTCCTCCAGGGCAAGGGGCTAGGTTATCATAGAGATGGAAGTGCAGTTTACATCTCTGTTTGCCCGCCTTGCTGAATATGGCCTAATATGGGCCTAAGCCAAATCCTAGTGAGGTCAGTTGGAAGACTCAGTTGATTTAATTGAACTTTGGATCAAACCTAAGCAAGCACAATGTGCTGCCCCCCATTGGAAAACTGGATCAGGAGAGAACTCAAGAACACTGCAAGTGGAGCTGACAGAGGAGGTGCTCTCAGTTTGTAGGAGAGGGATGGTGAGTGCATTGCTTAGGGACATTCTTTGCCAGCATTTGAAGAAGTGGTATCATTTGTCTTGGGGGCCTCACGGCCTAATACCCCAGGGGAGGTTTTATCAGATTGGGGAGGTAGACAGTGAGTCATTCTTGTTTAGTGATCAGAGCAGGGACTGGGAGTCAGGACTCCTGGGTTTCATTCCCATTATACACTTAACTTCCTTTGTCAGTTTGGAGAGACAAGGTGGGTGAGGTAATATCTTTTAATGAACCAACTTCTGTTGGTGAGAGAGACAAGCTTTCGAGCTCCACAGAGCTCTGCTTCAGGTCTGTGTGGCTCAAAAGCTTGTCTCTCTCACCAACAGAATTTGGTCCATTAAAAGATATTACCTAACCCACCTTGTTTCTTTAATATCCTGGGACAAACATGGCTACAATTACATTTGTCAGTTTGGGAAAGTTAGTTACCCTTTCTCTGCCTTAAGTTTCCCTATCTGTAAATTGTGTATAACAACACCCACTTCACTGGGGTGATGTTAGGGTGACCAGACAGCAAATGTGAAAAATCGGGACAGGGGATGGGGGGTAATAGGAGCCTATATAAGAAAAAGACCCAAAAATCGGGACTGTCCCTATAAAATCAGAACATCTGGTCACCCTAGATGATTTACAGCTTAATATTCATATTTATATAAAGAGCTATAAAATCTTCAAAGGAAAGGGGCTATAAAAGTGCATATTGTTTATAACTTTTTGCTATTGCAAGTTCTTGAGGAAACAAGTGTGGAAAGCAAAGGAGATTTGTGATATTTTTAATAGTGCTTTGACACCAGGATGAGGACAGATGCATGGGGTTTAATGGTTTAAAAAAACCAAAATCCCAAACCCAGACTTTTAAATAAAAAAGTAACATTAAAATGCAAGAGAAACAATATAAGATGTATGTAATTTATTTTCCTTTTCGTTTTAGACTAGTGGGTGAACTTTACCAACAAGATATGTCTTATTTATGTGAAGAGTAATATTACTGGAAAAGGTGCATCATTAAATAATAATTCTTTCCAGCTGAAAATGCTTGACAGAACAATAATTAACTTTTAAGTTCAAACACGTATTATTTACAGCGTGTGCTAAATCCTGTTTATAATCTAAATATATTTTATAGGGATAAAATATACATGCTATGGTTATTTTTTTCCTTTGGGTTGACACAGAATTTTGTTTACACAGCAGTGAATGGATGAAATTAATTTTAGTAGGTGGTTGGGGAGATGAGTTATGTGGGTATAAACCGCACTAGTAAGTGATCTATAAGTTAAGGAAAGAGTTACTGTCTCTTCAGATGCTTCTGATTGTATAGCCTAAAGATTCCTAAACTCTTAATTGCAGATTATGTTTGAGACATTCAATGTACCTGCTATGTATGTAGCAATTCAGGCAGTTCTATCTCTATATGCATCTGGTCGAACCACTGGTGAGTTTCTGTCAGTGTCAGTCTTACTGTCTGTCTCTCTCATGTATGCTGATATAGACACACTATGTATGTTCTGTCAGGAATCCATAGCCATCTAGGAACTGCATGCTTGCCTTATACTGTACAAGCATATCATGGCCCTGGCCATTACAGGAATAGAACTCCTCTCTTTCTGTTCCAAAAGTACTAGCCCCCTACCTGTTAATTTATAGGTTTATAAATTATATGAGAAATTTATCATTTCTATGAGGAGCATATAACCTATGTTTATATTAGAGAAAGACAATATAAATTGAGACTCCACTTAATTGCACACCAGATAAAAGAAGCAGCCACTTAACCGACTGATGTTCCAAATCCCCAACTTTTTTATTTATTTCCATGTTATCTTTACCATTAAACATATTCCTGACAAAAGAATACCATTGAATCATTATAAGAAAATATCTTGTTTAAATATTATACTTCTCAATTATCTAACTCAGAGTCTGCTGCGAAGAGATAATTAGCATTAGCAGAGAGATCCCTCCCGACCACCATTTAATACCGGATCAAGCATTAAGGCCATAAATTATATTTATACACTAAGGCCTTGGTACATTTTGAAAAAAATTGAAAATACCATCTGGTTTTACAACCTGGTGCCACAGTCTAGTTTGGGGTGGGCAAACTATGGCCCGCAGGCCGGATCCAGCCCACCAGCCATTTAAATCCGGCCCTCGAGATCCTGCGGGGGAGTGGGGTCTGGAGCTTGCCCTGCTCCGGCGCTCCAGCTGGGGAGCAGGGTCGAAGGTCGCTCCACACGGCTCCTGGAAGCAGCAGCCTGTCCCCACTCCAGCTCCTACACCTAGGAGCAGCCAGGGGACTCCGCTCTACATGCTGCCCCTGCCCCAAGCGCTCACCCCGCAACTCCCATTGGCTGGGAACCACCTGCGGATGGGGCAGCGTGCAGAACCGCCTGACCATGCCTCTGTATAGGAGCCAGGGTAGGGACATGCACTGCTTCTGGGAGCTGCTTGAGGTAAGTGCTGCCCAGAGCCTGCACCCCTGAGCCTCTCCCCACGCCCCAGCCCCCTGTCCGAGCCCTGATCCCCCTCCCATCCTCCGAACCCCTCGATCCCAGCCCAGAGCACCCTCCTGCACCTCAAACCCCTTATCCCCAGCCCCACCCCCACCCCAGAGCCCACACCCCCAGCTGGAGCCTGCACCCCTTACCACACCCCAGCCCCCTGTCCCAGCCTTGATCCCCCTCCCACCTTCCGAACTCCTCAGTCCCAGCA